AGTTTGAGGACAACGATCCTGTGTTCAAACCTCAAATTTATTCTTGACGTATTTCGTGATTTTTATTCATAATTGTTTCCATAATTTTGTTTTTATTTCTTCTCCAACCCCTTATTTTCCAACACATGACCCCTTAGGCCCTCACATTTCATTCCATAGCCGTATGTTCAATTTAATTCATAATTGGTAGAAAAACTAATTATGTGGTATTTCAGAAAGGTTGCAAACTTAGCATTGGTTTTCGGATCGAGTTTTGTATTTTCTTGGTTTTAGTATATGTTGACTTCAGTGTTACGAAAAGAATGCTGGTGGCTACTGTGGCAGTTAAAATGGACAGTTACAAATAGTTCATATTTTTAAACATACTAAATGAGACTTAGGCTCCTTTCAACCATTTGGTGTCAATGAATGAAACTGAAAGTTGGATTTACTGCAAAATAGAAGTACAGTATTGGGTGATTCTTGCATGCATTAGAAAATAGATTTTGGTTTAAAAGTGATGAAGGTGTTAATTTCCAACCATATTTTTCTGGTACCTTGCTTGTAAAAATTTCTGTGAAAAGTGTTCAAGGCGGTTTAAATGCCATTTTGTAATTTCTAGCTAGTCAATTTTAGCCCCCGTTTGAACCACATTATTTTAAAAATGAGAATGAAAAATATAGTCGTTATGGACTCCACACAAGAAATAAAAAGTTAAATATGGTGACTTGTTGTGATGTATAACGATCATATTTTTAATTTTAATGAGAAAATAATGGGGCTCGAATAGGGCCTTAATGTAAAAACATAAATGGTATATTTAGTATCATAAATGTCCTCTAGTGATAAATTATCTGGCGTTGTTGACTATCTAAGGTGATGTTATATTCTATATATGCAAACTTACTCCTTTATTCCCCAGAGATCTTTTGAGAAATCTAAAGCGCCATAAGGATGAGGATCTTCAGAAAGGTCAAGCTGTAAAAAATCATAGGTTATGAACCTTTCTAATCACTGTTTTACCATTGCTTATCCATTACCATCCTTGAATTAGCATGAATTTAAGCCATTCAAATAATGCAACTTTACATTGCTTAGAATATGTTTTTACTTTTATTTTATTTTTTTCCTTCTGGTCTTTCAAAGAAATGTAGCAAAAGGGTTCTTGTGTTCTAGACTTTTTTTTTTTTTCTTTCTAATCTTAATCTAATAATGAGGGAACATCTTGGCTCTGTTTTGATTTATTGTTGTTCCCCTTAGCTCTCCATGTCCATTTTCGACTTTACCGAGATGGTTTGCTGATATGATAAACCCCCCATTCGGTTCACTTACACCAGAAGAGGAAAGAATGACATAGAGCAGCCAAGTTAGTTTACATTCCAGAATATTCCATCAAGTCAGTAACTAGAAGGATAAAAGTGTACTAGTGATAGGGAAGAATGTCTATAAAAAGGATAGAGGGAAAGAGAACGGCAGGCATTGTTTGAGTGAATTTCTGTTAAGTTTGGAGAGAACCCAGGCCTCTCGAATTGCCTGTGGGATTGTCATTTGGTTATTGAGTTATTTCCAATTCCAATAATTTCACTTCGTTCCCCTGCTATAATTCAAAGTTCTAGTTCCTTGTTCACAGCTGCTTGAATTCACTGCATTTCAGTTTCACAGGTCAGAGTTCTAACATTTTGGTATCAGAGCATCAACCTGGGAAATGACACTCACGGATCGTATGGATGCGATGGAAACTAGGGTGCAAGGTATGCAAGAGGGGATGGAGGCTATGAGGTCAGAGGTGTCGGAGCTGTTGGAGAAGTTTAATTTGATGATGAAGAAGTGGGATGGGTTGGAACGAGACAGGAAGGAGAAAAGAGCGGAAACAAATTCACCGAACATGACATCAAACCGGGACGATCCACTTACCTCTTAAAGGTCAGGAGAAAATACTGAAGTCAGGGGACGGCGTGATGAAGTTGAACAGATTGGCAATCGAATTCATCGATTGGAGATGTCGGTGTTCAATGGCGAGGACCCAGACGGGTGAATTTTTTGGGTGGAGAGGTACTTTAATATGAATCACATTGCTAATTGGGAACGGGTAGAAGTTGCTGCTGTCTGCTTCGAAGGAGAAGCATTAGCGTGGTTTTAATGGGAGGATAACAGACAACCTATGAGAAATTGGGAGGACCTGAAGCTTTTATTGCTGGATCGTTTCCGCCCTTCTCAGGAAGGGATCGCTCTGTAGAAATTCCTTGCGTTGAACAAGAGAGGACAGTGAAGGATTACCAGAGGCAGTTTGAATTAATGGCTGCTCCCCTACCGACTATCCCTGAATCAGTGATGGAAGGTAACTTCATGAATGGGTTGAGCCCAAAAATATGGGCCGAAGTGAGAATGATGAGGCCCCAGGGATTGGGCCATATAATGGAGTTAGCCCATAGAGTAGAGGATAGAAATGAATCCTTGAAACGAGCCCATCTTAGGGCAGGCCCATTTGTGTCCAAAAATAGCAGCTCGAAATCGGCTTGTAGCCCTAATTCCTTCAGCCCGACACCTGCTCCCTCCAGATGACAGTGATGACACAACAAGGTTCGGGGGTTCCTCTCTGTTCAACAGCTGTTCCGATGCCACGACCAGTGTCGGCAGTCAAATCGGCATCGCCCTATAAGAAACTCACTGATACTGAACTGCAGAGGAAGAGAGAACGAGGCCTGTACTACCACTGTGATGAAAAGTTTAAGCCAGCTATAAGTGTGCCAATAAAGAGTTGCAGGTGCTTGTGGTCCAGGAAGAAGAGGGAGTTGAGCAATTAGAGGCCGTGGGGAAGGAAGAAAAGGATGAACTGGGGGAATTAATTGAGTTGTCCATCAAATCGGTGGTAGGCCTATCAACGCTTCGGACCATGAAATTGCAGGGGACCATTTTGGGGCAGAACGTGGTTGTGATGATTGATTTTAGTGCTACCCATAATTTTATTTCAAATAAGCTGGTGGGGAAGTTGGGGCTGAGTATCACCAGTACAAGTAGCTATGGAGATGGGGTTGGCAGTCAACGTAGGGGGAGTATGTAGGGGGGTGGTGGTGTCCCTACCACAGATTGACATAGTGGAAGACTTTCTTCCCCTGAAGCTAGGATGCACAGACGTCATCCTAGGAATGAAATGGTTGGAAACTTTAGGGAAGATGCAGGTTAATTTGGGAACTTTGACTATGCATTTTAAAGTAGAAGAAGAGACAATTGTGTTGCAGGGGGATCCTAGCTTGGACAAATCACAGGTATCCTTGAAATCAATAGTTAAGTCAATCAAGAATGGAGAGCAGGGGTTTTACTGGAATTAGGGAGTACGGGGGTGGTGACCGAGGAAATGGGGCCTGAAACGCCTGATTTGTTGAAGCAATTATTGAAGAAATATTGCTAGATTTTTGAGAAACCCCTCGAACTGCCTCCAACAAGGACATGAGATCATGTCATCAACCTGTAACCTGGGGCAGCCCCGGTGAATGTGAGACTGTGCCGTTATCCGTATGCTCAAAAAAATGAAATTGAGAAATTAGTCTAGGAAATGCTAGCTGCTGGAATCATACAACCTAGTTACAGTCCCTTCTCGAGCCTAGTTCTGTTAGTTAAGAAGAAGAATGGGAGTTGGCGCTTTTGTGTGGATTATCGTGCCCTTAATAAGGTTACTATACCTTATCGGTTCCCAATGCCGGTGATAGATGAGCTGTTAGATGAGTTACATAGGGCGCGAGCATTTTCTAAGCTGGACTTGAGGTCCGGGTACCATCAGATCAGGGTAAAGGCAGAGGACATACCCAAGACAGCTTTTCGAACCCATGAAGGTCACTATGAGTTTCTGGTCATGCCATTTGGGCTGACAAATGCACCGCCAACCTTTCAACATTTAATGAATGAAGTCTTTCGACCATATTTGAGGAGATTTGTGCTTGTTTTCTTTGATGACATACTGGTGTATAGTGGGTCAATTGAGAAACATCACCAGCATCTGCAAATTATTTTGGAGAGCCTACAGGAGCATAGGTTGTATGCCAATGTTAAAAAATGTGTATTCAGCCAGCCGAAAATTGAGTATTTGGGTCATGTCATCTCGAAAAAATGGGTGGCGACGGATCACAGTAAAATTGAAGCAATGATCAGTTGGCCCACACCTCGCACCATCAAGGAGCTTCGAGGGTTCCTGGGACTCGCAGGTTACTACAGGCAGTTTATGGAGGGTTTTGCTAAGATTGCCTGGCCTTTGACCGAACTTCTTGAGAAGAATGGGTTCCTTTGGAGTGATAAGGCAGAAACTGCATTCCAAGCACTGAAGGCAGCCATGAAAGATGTGCCAGTGCTTGCACTACCCGATTTTTCTCAGCAGTTTGTCATTGAAATTGATGCTTCGGGGTATGGATTAGGAGATGTTTTAATGCAGAACCATCATCCTATTGCTTACTACAGCCATGTCCTTCCAGCTAATGCTCGTTGAAAATTGGTCTATGAGCGGGAATTAATGGCTATTGTATTTGCGGTTCAGAAGTGGCGGCATTACTTGTTGGGACGGCATTTTGTGGTGTGAACTGATCAAAGAAGTTTGAAGTTTTTGTTGGAACAACGCATGGTTTGCGAAGAACATCAAAAATGGTTAACCAAATTACTGGGATACAGCTTTGATATTCAATATCAACTCGGGGTGCAGAATAAAGCGGCAGATGCACTTTCACGGGTCGAACCCAGCATATGTAACATGATGATTTCTACTCCTAGGTCACTGCACCTGGAGGAGCTTAAACAAGCAATAGCAGCCGATGAAGTGTGGGGCAAAGTGGTGACTGAGATGAAGGTTGGGCTCCAGTCTAAACCGGGATTTACATTGACAGACGAATTACTAAGATATCAAGGGCGGGTGGTCCTTTCCAAGAACTCTCATTTTGTACAATCATACTGCAGGAAAGCCATGATCCTAAGGTAGGTAGACATCTGGATTTCTTAAGACATTTAAACGGGCTGCACGGGATGCTTATTGGTTGGGAATGAAGAAGGACGTGCGAGACTATGTGGCGAACTATGCCGTTTGCCAACAGAATAAATACCTGGCTCTATCTCCCTATGGACTATTGCAGCCCTTGCCTATTTCGGAATCAATCTGGGATGACATTTCCATGGACTTCATTGATGGACTTCCTAAATCTGGAGGGGTAGATACCGTGTTGGTGGTAGTGGACCGCTTGAGTAAATATGGACATTTCATCGGCCTAAAACATCCTTTCACAACTCCCGAAGTCGCCAAGTTATTCATCCGAGAGAGAGTTCGTTTGCATGGGATGCCCCGTTCAATTGTGTCAGACAGGGACCGAATTTTCATGAGTAACTTCTGGGTAGAATTGTTCAAAGCACAGGGGACTATTCTTAAGCATAGCACCGCATACCATCTTCAAACACGGAAGTAGTTAACCGATGCCTTGAGACATATCTAAGGTGTTTTGCTTCGAATAAACCTGGCACTTGGAGTCAATATCTACTGTGGGCAGAGTTTTGGTACAACACATCATTCCACACTGCAACCCAACGTATCCTATTTCAGATTGTGTACGGTCGGGATCCTCCATCAATATTACAGTTTGAGAAGGGTCTTACAGCCAACTCTTCTTTTGAATCTGCAGGAGCTTAAGGCTCAACTCTCTAAGGCTCAACTGAGGATGAAACAATTGGCTGATGGGCATCGGCGTGATATTCAGTTTGAGGGTGGTGACTTAGTGTACCTTAAATTGCGTCCATATCGGCAGAAATCTGTGAGAAAAAGGTCATGTGAAAAGCTGCCCCCAAGGTACCATGGGCCTTCTGAGGTTTTTTCAAAGGTGGGCAGTGTTGCATATAAACTAAAATTGCCTTCCACTGTAGCTATACACCCCTGCCCCCAAGGTACTATGGGCCTTCTGAGGTTTTTTCAAAGGTGGGCAGTGTTGCATATAAACTAAAATTGCCTTCCACTGTAGCTATACACCCGGTATTCCATGTGTCTTAGCTTCGTAAGGCAATTGTTACCTCTCAACCTATCTCCTCCCTTCATCCACATCTCAGAGCAACAGGGAATCTCATCACTGAACCGGAGGAAGTCTTAGCTATTAGAACTAGTGTTGCAAACATGAATCATGAGCCAGAAGTTTTGATCAGGTGGAAGGATTTACCAGAATTTGAAGCAACTTGGAAACCTTTTGAGACCATACGCCAGCAGTTTCCTAGCTTCCACCTTGAGGACAAGGTGGATTTTGGGACGATGGGTAATGATAAACCCCCCCATTCGATTCACTTACACCAGAAGAGGAAAGAATGACGTGAAGCAACCAAGTTAGTTTACATTCCAGAATATTCCACTAAGTCAGTAACTAGAAGGGTAAAAGTGTAATAGTGATAGGAAAGAATGTCTATAAAAAGGATAGAGGGAAAGAGAACGTCAGACATTGTTTGAGTGAATTTCTGTTAAGTTTGGAGGGAACCCAGGACTCTCAAATTGCCTGTGGGATTGCCATTTGGTTATTCAGTTCAATAAAGAGTTATTTTCAATTCCAATAATTTCACCTAGGGTGCGTTTGATTGCAAACATGAAATTGAAAACGAATTCCAGGGAATTGAATTGTCTAAAAATTATTTTCTTGAGAATTGTAAATTATTGTGTTTGATTGATATAATTTTCTACGTGAAAAATGTTGAAATAAAAGTGTTTTTTTATGTTCGTTTGACTTTGTTTTACATGAAAATTGTCAATTAAAGAGATAAAATTTACTGGTATTGAGTATGAAATTTGTTTTCATTGCGAACAAAAAAAATTCAAGAAAATCATCTATCTTGTGGTGTTCGTTTGTCTTTGTTTTACATGAAAATTGTCTGTAAAAGAGAAATATTTTTTTACAATAATTCTTAGAATTTATTTCCATTGCAAAAAAAAAAATAATAAAATAAAAAATTATTTAAAAAATCGCTACAGTAACCGGGAATCCCAATTCTCACCATTTTGGTGAGAATTTCAATTCCGTGATTTCATGGAAAATGGTGACGCGGCAAGAAAGTGAGAATCTCAATTCTATGAAAAATTTTGGATAATCAAACAACCAAAAGTTGGAAAATGGAATTTCTATGGAAAAAGTGGAGCAATCAAACACTATCTTAACTCCTCTGCTATAATTCAAAGTTCTAGTTCCTTGTTCACAGCTGCTTGAATTCACTGCATTTCGGTTTCACAGGTCAGAGTTCTAACATGATCATCTCTCCTCACCCTGTTAAGGCTCTTTGGGACAAATCACTTGAATTATGATTCTCGCTGCAAAAAGCATTCTCAAGTTCTAACCGACTTCAACAGGTTCGCTTTGGATTCTTACATATAATTATCATTTGAATTCTATGTACGGCATCAAGACAGCGTTGTGAAAGAAGATTCGTGCCTACAGGAACCAGTTAGGTCTTTATTCAGTGGTTCTGATAATTTAGTCAGCGAAGCATACTCTGATCTAATCGCTTCCTCAAAGAAAACATTGGATTCCATACCGGAGTTAGAACAGGTGCGACGGTGGAGAAAAATATCCCTATCTGAATTAAGTAAGCACACACAATCTTCCTTATTGTCATGCAATCTCATCTCATAAACAATTTCCCATAGTTTTACTTTGTAATCGTGTTTCTTTTGACAGGCGCTAGGTGAGAATAATCCTTCAATTGCTCGATCCATAGATGGTATGACATGTCAATACATATTTGTTTATTTTATACTGATACCTAATTGCTAAAAATACTTCTCATAAAAATTTGTTGGAACTGCTTTGCTGTTGAGACGTCATTTCCACAAAGAACTTGTACAGTATATTTACAAAGCTTGGAATGCACTCAATGAAAATTATTGGCTAAAACCTATGTTGTGTCTTTTCAGGATGTAGAAAATCTCAGTCATTTAAAGGGACCAAAATTTAAATCTGCTCTCCTGTAAATGGCTCATGTCTCAGCAACTGAGTCTCAGTCCCAATAAGCAACATGAATTCTTTTCTTCATTCTGTACAATTTTCTTTAGGACATTATGCATATGTAAACTGTTACTGTTCACTTTAATTCCTCTGCGGAGGATATGATGTCTTCTTTTAATTTGTCATTCATGATAACATGACAAAACTAATAAGTGGTTAGTCTTATTAATTTTTATGCAAAGAATATATCGACTCTCAGTTTTTCTAGTTTGATTGAAGTGAATGAGTAGAGAGTCTCTATCTGATTGTGATGGTACAGTTATGAGTCATGATGCAAAGGTCGTTATGTTGTGGCTTAATATGGAACTAATTTAATTTTTTATAGTTCTTACTCCTGCTGTTGTTAAATCTGGCCATGTACAGTATCACTTTATTAAATTATTATAATTGATCAGTCAGCCTCATATATGCATGTTACCGAATTAATCCGTTTCTTTACTTTCTATGTTTTCGCGCCTCATTATTTTAATTACTGTAATTACAAAATAACCATCTTAGGATTGCAATACTTCCCAAAAATGACTGCCCCAACAATTTCTATAAGAATTGAGTAATATTTCAGGATTCAATGTTTTCCTGTCTTTTATGTGCTGTCCACGAATAATGGTCTCCTCAAAAGATAAACATTTTATTCCAAAAGTATGCATCCTTAATTACATCCCCATTACATAATTTCCTTTTTTCTTTCAGTGCATAAAATTTTCTGGAATCTTCTCTAGTTTGGCTACCCTGGTCAATAGACTGTTGGAATAATTAATAATTTCATACGTGGGCTTTACATTCAATTGCAAATTTTACGGGCTAGATGTATGGCTCATAATGATATTTGTGTTTGGGCCAAATTTATTAAGTGATCAATTGAGTATTTTACATCTTACGGGTTGTAATTAATTTGATGTGGTAATTTAAAGTATGTGAGCCAAAAATAAACCCTAATTTGAATTTTAGTCGTAATGGGACGGCTCAATTATTTCCTATATAAATGCTAGGAATTTACCTTGTCCACAATCAAGGGGTTAAGTTAGTGATACTCCTTTTGTTTGGTATACCTAATCCTAATGAATTTAGGAAGTCAACCCTCTCCTCTCCATAAGTTTTTTATTGGCTCGCCCCATTGATAGCTAATACTTTTGTGAGGAACAAAGAGAGGAAGATTTTGACTGCTATTACAACTATCATTCATATCAACAATGGCTTCCGCAGATATGAATTCGTTTCTATTAATTTATTGGATTGTGATTATCGATTCTTAACATAATTAAAAATAATTATTAACAATTGGTATCAGAGCAGCATGTTAAGATTGAAATCTTTCATGAATTTTTTTTTCTTATCTCATTTTGAAAAAGGTCTTCTGTGCATACATTAAAATTATATGTGTCATTGAATTAATTCGTATTATCTTATTTTGAAAAACGTCTTCTGTGCATACATTAAAATTATATGTGTCATTGAATTAATTCGTATTTCCTTCACGTGGTTGAGTAACCCACAAGTAGGAACAATAAATGCTTTCCCTCGCCCCTTGGAGCACAGCTCAACCGGTGGATCAATCAACATTGGCTTGCTTCCAGTGGCAGGGTAGAGAGTTCGATTCGTGGTGGGAACCTGTGGCCAAAAAATTGGTATGGAGCAATCACTGTGGAGGAAGGTTTCTTGTGCGCAGAAGTGTACAGTCAATGGGGGGAACCTGTGATCCAATTGAGGCATAACCCGCGATTTACCCTCTTCAAGGTTTTAGGGGCATTGGTCTTTGAGGTCAAGGATTTAGTC